ATAACTGAGTGAAGATGGGATCATTTCTTGTGAGAAATCCTATTTGAGCCAGGAAATAGTAGATGTGTTGTGAGGGAGATCTCTTGCCATCAAACTAGACTAGGCTTATGGGCTTGAACTTTCCCGTATAGGGAACCGTATCCCATTTAATTAGATATGGCTTGACCACCCCCAACTCGTTCATATTCTTCTGGAGCTTCAAAGCGTTGAACTGACTTTGGAACTCGTTAAGCCTTTTGTCTTAGAGTTGCTGCCAGAATGTGACGTCCCTTCTGAGGCCTCGGATGAAGACTTGGAGGATGACCTAGGGTTATCTTCCCTTCTGTAGTTTGAGGGAGAGTAGGTTCCCACTCTTTATTCTTTGTGGAGGATTTCGGGAGAGCCCGCAAGGTCCTCTTCTTCTTCTTCTTCTTTTCTGGAAGCTTTTTGAGCATCTCTTTCATAGTGTTGATTGTCACTTGCTGCATGGCAATCATAACTTGTTGCTTTTCCAATCTTCTGGCCACTTCATCAGGAACTTCAGCCATATGCACTTTTGCATGCTCGCCTTGGATCGAGTTTGGCACCTGAGATGTTGCTACTATCGAATAATCATCCTCGTCGTCATCAAAAATAGATGCTAGTCGCCTGTAATCAAGTGGTGTAGCAACCCCCTTTTTCATCCGGGTATGCTGGTAGACACCTTCAGGTTTAATGGAGATGCCTTTCAATCTCGGCGAAAATTCAATGTCAGAAGAGTCTAAGTTTTTCACCTTAGACTTTTTTGTCACGTTGACAGTTGCAGCTGGGAGATCTTTGTCATCAGAAGCTCATCTCTTTTAATGATTATGTCTTTGGTGAGGAGGTCTCATCTCTACTGGTTGCTTAGAGAGCCTTTCGGACACTCATGGTTTCGACATTTTGGTACAACGACAATTAACAAGTACTACCGTAATAAGCCTCTCGCAGTGGCACTGAGGAGGCCTCATGAATAGTATGTTTGTGAGTCAAGCGCTCTCTAAGATCCCTTATAGGTTGATGCATACAACCCTCAACGTCTGAAGGACCAGATGAGTGATTATGCGATGAAGGCTCAAAAGAACACTTGGAGGAACACTTAGAAAAATCACCAAGTGCTAGAATCCGACGAACTTGCCTTGATAGGCGAGGCTACCTTGTCCTACAAGGTTCGCTTGTTCGGTGAACTTGCGTCTATTGGCGAGGTTCAGCCGTTGGGCGAACTTGCGTCTATTGGCAAGGTTCGGCCGTCGGGCGAACTTGGTAAGGTTCACCAGTCGAGTTAAGTTTGCTGGAGTGGTAAAGTCTACCTGGCCTGTTATGTTCGTCTGGCCTGTGAAGTTCATATGAATGGTGATCTTCACCAGTAACGTGAAGTTTACCTGAACTGTTGAGTTCGCCAGATTTAGGAACTTGCTGTAGTTCACCAAAACTAAGAACTCTGCGTTCATTACTAGCTCTATTCTTGTTTTTCATGCCTGAATAGTAGTTTAGGTCGTCATAGGAGATTAGGGCACGTGCCTCACGGCGAGCGCGGACTTATTGTCACCTCAGTTTGGCCTTCTTTGAGAGAGAAGCGTTCATGTCGATAGTGAAGGCGTGATCTGCGCCAACACAAACTTTGGTCTCCTCGGGGATAGGAGCTCTCATGGATTGTTTGACAACCCATCGAGCATCTCCTTGGTTAGCATTCTTGGCTTTTTTGTCAACCTCAACCACTTTAGGAGGGGTGGAACTCCCAATGCTTGCTCGGGTAGAGCTTTCATACATAGTAGCCTTGGTTTGTTAGGGTTGGGTCACACGTATCACTTTGAGATATTTGCATGACGTCTTGCTGCCAGATAAGCCAAAGATAAGTACTCTTCGTATTTATATTGATCAAACTCTATGACGAGGGACTCAACTGGTCGTCCCTACATTAACCTCGTCAAATTATGCCACCACCATCTCGTCTGAAAAACTAGTTTCTCCCACTGTGATCGCCATCTTCTGTAGGTTGTAAAAATTAATCTCAAATTTATATTAATTGAATTGTTTGTTACAAATTAAAAATTACTTTTACACAGAAGCAGAGAGAATTTATTTGATCTCTCCTTGTTTAATGTGGGTTGTTTAGGGCGATAGGATGCTTCCCTCGATGCTCGTGTCGAGTTTGCTTCCTATTGAAGATTTGAATGAGGTTATGAACAAACATCAGCGCGTGGTAGAAGCTTGGTCGAATAAGTTCAAAAACCCAAGCTTAGATTTGAAGGCCGAATGCACAAGAAGAAAAAATTCGGTTCTCTTAATATGTCAAGAATATCCCCTTCTCTCTAGCCGCTCAAGGATTTTTATATCGAAGAACGACCATAACTACCTCCTTAGAATGTGGGAAGTGGGCATAAAAACTCCCACAATTCGAGCTTAAGTGGTTGACTTAGTCAATACAAGCAGATTTAACCATTTAGGTAAGCTAGGTGAGCTTGCAGGCGAGCCTAGATCATGTGGGCGAGCTTGAAAAACAGGCGAGGTTGTAACATATAGGCAAGCTTGACAAACAGGCGAGGTTGGAACATATAGGCGAGCTTGACAAATAGGAAAGGTTAGAACATACATGCGAACCTCATAAATTAAGTATTCAGACGAGCTTAACCCCTGTTGACGAGCTTGGATCGTACGGGCGAACCTTCTGTAGGTGAGCTTAACTCATGTAGGCAAAGCTAAGTGTTTAGGCAACCTTGGCTTCACACGAGCCATTCTGGCGAAGCTCAATCAGCTCAAGTGAAGCAAAGTTATCAGACGAACTTAGCTATGCTAGAAAAGTTGAGTTATTCATGCGAACTTTCATGTGTAGAATACAGGCGAGCCAGTTTTGTTCATGCAAGCCTAATCATTATAGGCGAACCTCCGCCTTGCAGGCAAACTTATTAGGGATAAAGGCAATTTTATTTGTCTACATTTGTCATGCTACCAAAAAAGCCTGGGAGTTAACTCAAACCACCGCTATGAACAATTCTATGCGCCAGAAGCAATGGTGTCGAATAGCGTCAAAAACTTCAACAAGCGTTGAACAGATAGTCAAGTGTTTGGAATGATAATTTCTATGCAGTTATCGAAGATGTGGACTAGAGAATTGAATGTTTTTTCTGCACGATCGGAGATAGTTTTATGATCGAAAGGAGTGGATATATTGGCTTAGATTGTAATGGCATGAAGATTAGGGAATTTTGTGTTAAGTTTGGATATGTGGAGATTTGCTTGAGTTGAGTTGGTGATGTAGTTGATGATGAGATTGGCGTGGAGGGAGGAAAGTGTTAGGATTATGTCTTTGATTCTTTGTATAACTTTATGAGAATTAGATAGGATTAGAGATATATCATGTTTAGGAGATTGACTCTCATCATGATTAGAAGTTTATTCTAATTTCCCTATATATATTCTTCTATTATTGGAGGAAAACCCAAGAAAAGGAAAATGAGAGAGAGTGAATATTCTTATAATCTAGGGATAGTAGAGGGCGTACCCTAATTCAAGAATATTGTACAAGAGGCGAGGGTTTCGTGCTCTTTATCTATGTAAAAGATTATAATATTGGTAGCGGGTTTCATAGTCTTTGTTCGTCCCTAATATTATAAGGAGTGGGTTTTAGAGAGAATATGAGAGTTGATTATGTATGTGAGGTTGAAAGATTAAGAGACGAAAGTTGAGTGGTTCCTCTTATAGTTCACTCTGATACATAGTGGATTTCTCATATTGTTGCCCTATAGATGTAAGTCAAAGTTGGTCAACCATACTACATAAATCTCAGTGTTTTTTTCTTGATTGTAGTTATTTTCAATCTTGTTGATTGTTGGTCCGCTTCTAAGTTGTGGAGATCATAGTACGTGGGATGACTAAAATTCCCCAACAAGTGGTATCAGAGTGATGATGATGGATCTGGGGGCATGTTTGTAAGATAGGCGTCATACAAAAGTGAGATCGACGGTGTTACAAGAATCAAGAAGAAGAAAAAGAGAAAAAAAGGAGGCTACGGGAAGCAGAATCGGGTCATAGGTTATCAGTGGAGGTGTGATTGACGACGTTAGGGTTTATCTCATGATGTTTTCAAGTTCTCTGGTTCATGTGATGAAGAAGATGTACACAAAGTGAGAAAAAATCATGCGAGGGCAATTAAGCAGGTGGGGTCCACATGACGACAAAGAAAGCGCATGGGCAAGCACGTGATAGTTAGTCATGTGGGAAGAAAAGGAAAGTTCTGATGGTGGTGACGAGACTGATTTGATGGAACATAAGGTGAACAAGTATGCAACAGATGAGACAATTGTAGAGAATCAGACGTTGTTTTTGTAGTAGAGTTATCAGCATGCAATTATTCAGGATCATTACAAGAGTAGCAGTTGGTTGGTGTATAGACTAGAGGAACATAGTGCCAGATTAGGTGGAGCTCACAAGCAGGCACGACAGAGTGACACACATGGAGATGAAGATGATGGCATTGAGCTTGTAGGGAGTTGTAGGAGAATGAGCAGTTGTATTCGGTCCAACCCAAGTGATGGAGGAGATAGAGGCATCTGGCTCGTAGTGTGGAGTAGGAAAGATGCACCGATATAGATTGAGATGAGTGATGCAGGTGGAGCATAGGACAATAAGCAGAGGGAGACCATTGTCTAGCTCAAGTTGGGAGGACAAACATGATTGATTTGCTTCTAATGTTAGAGGTGGTAAAGATCTCTTGGTGAACACAAGAGAGGTGGAGGCACCATAGCAAGGTAGATAAAAGTGAGGGTGATAGGAGCATCCAGGTTGGAGTTCGGGGTACTGATTAAGAGTATGGGCGCTTTTGATTTGAAGTGCAAAAGAGTAGAAGATGCTAGCGGGAGACGCAAAATTTTAAGACGCCAATGATATATCTTCAAGGGAGTTTGGGAATCAAATTCAAGATTGTCACGACCCCAATTTCCGAACCTCAAAGGAATATTAGAGCCGGACTAAACCTGTGAAAAGTCCTCCAAAATATACATTCATTAAAAGAACACTAAAACAAATCTCTTCATTGAACTAAAACCAACAACAAATATTCTCTATAATCCCAAAAGTCAACTAAGCCAATTAACTTGATAAAAATAAATATTCCTCAACTCCAAATAAATCTCAACCTAAAGAAAGAATCTCATTATTACAAACTCTCAAATCATCATCTAAACATTAAAGACTTTATTTAACCTTCGCCTAGAAGACAATAACAATCTCGAATTATTCTTTGCTTCGTTCTAAGAATTTGACAATCCTCAATTCCACCTAATCCCGAGTCTCTGAAAAGAATAGAAATAACACAATGAGTTCACAACTCAATAAGTGGATAAATTCATACATTAAACACTGGTTTTGCAAAACTAAAATATTACAACAAGAAATAAACAAAATATAAGAATGATATAGAATCATTAATGAACTCTAGTATTTGATACAAATGTTTAAGAAAATTAGAAATCATGGAATAGAAATAAGCATGCTACGTCTCAATGCGGTCAACACTTCATACTCCGGTTGACTCGGTAAACCCCACAATTATTAAGCCCGTGGTTCCGGGACGGTGAGACCCAATTTGGGCTCTTAGCGCTAAAATAGAACCTCATAGAGGCACATTGAGTCCTGTTTTAATAGCTTGCTTATATCCGACATATACCGGTATATTGACTTGAGATGCATATGCTTTAACAATAAACAAAGTTCGTAAAGCTAATCACATTATACAAATATGCCAAAGGCCAACCAATAGTGAAATAAATCAAACACATATGCATCTCAACCTACCACTATATGAATAGACATAACAATTGATAAAGAAAATAAGCATAGGCTTATACCAAAATATCCATGAGCATCACAAAATCAACCAATCAACAATTGATATACCAGTAATCATACGAAGGATATAATCCGTCAGGAACAAATCCAAGTATACTTGATATAATTATATAAAAAAATACACAGCGCACAATGCATAAATTCACCACTTACTTCAAACCCGAAAGACAATCGAAATACCACTCACGACGTCTCCTCGAAGCCACTTGAAACTCCTAAAGAACAATGCAAGAAATTATCAATACTAACTATTAGGTAATTAACATGATATGTGACTAATCATGCTAACTACTTGATCAGTCTATATCTTTTCATTCTTTTGACATAATGAACTAAGTATAATATAAATCATTATAATATACTTGATAAGTATATTATAAATAATCCCACCGCCTAATATTTTTGCAGTCTGAGTGGGAAACTTAACCAAAATCCGAGGATCAAAGCCGTCCTTACAACATCTAAAAGTTGGCACTTATTTACCTTGTCTATTTAGTTCCATCGATCCAAAACAAACTTTTGATAATGATGATTTCAACCTTTGTAATCAATGGCCAAAAACAAGGCATCAGCTATGAGAGCACATAGATTATATAACTGATTGTGCAAACTTGAAGAGCAATGCATACTTTTATATATATATATATTTTTTTTTTGAGAGCAGCGGCTATGTGTGGCGGAAACAGATTTGAGGACAAAAGCTTTATTCTTCCTTTTTCTTTAATTGTACGAGCGGCACAACACAGAAGGGAGGAAGAAGAACGGCTCACGGGAGAAATAGGGTTTTCTTTTTCTTTTTCTTTACTATTTATAAGTGCTCTCTTTTTACTAATAAAACCCTCTAACAAATTTGCATAAAAGCCCCTTTACTTTTCCTTATGTATATCTATCTTAAAACTTAGAATTATTACATACTACCCCACTTAACAGAAGTTTTGTCCTCAAAACTTGAACATACTTGAATTGTCCATAGATCATGTAATTATTTTCTTTAAACTCCTTAATCCGACTATGATGGTACTATGTACAAATGTTATCATCGGCACATACTCAAATCTCATCCAATAATTTCATGAGCATATTAGCTAATATGGTCAGCTCAAAAATTTATATCATATTTATTATCAATTGACAAAATTTGGGATATTGTATATTATACCCCTCAAAAGAAGTTTTGTCCACAAAACTTAGATACATGTCAAGTCCTCAAATAGATCAAGATATTTCTCTTTCATCACATTCTCATGCAACCTATTGTTTCTTCTTCTAAATGACTTTTTTTTTAACACAAAAAGAATTCATTGGACAAATATTTATTGATCATCAATGTTTAATACTTTTGATCCAAAGTCGCATATAACTACTTTTGACTATATAAAATCTTTCCTGTCATGAGAGCTTCATAGATTATCACATGAGATATATTATAGGAAACTAGAAGTAAGCCATGAGGTGATGCAATGCTACTTGATACGTCCACAATCCTCTCCAAAATATAAAATGTAACCTCAAACTTTAAAGTCTCTACTAAGATGGAATCTCATGATGTCCTTTACATGTAACATGTCATGCTTCTCAAGTGAATGAGTAGTGCTGCAAGGCAAGCAATAAGTCAACTTAGTAAGTTAATCAACAATCGGGAGGAATGTGTTGGGGAGGGAGGTGGATTTGTGGGTGGAGAGTGGGGAGGTGCAGAGAGTTGGGCATAAAATGGACGGGACTACTAGTCTCGTCCATTTGGAAAAGGTCGATTTCGCTATTATTTTGATGAGAAGGTCGATTTTACTCATTAATTTTACAAAACGGTTGGTCTTAAAAATTTGTCCCCTTTTGAAACACCAAAACTTTAACTTTCCACTAGGCTACTAAGCATTTATGAAAAGTACTTGTAGTTAATTCTTGTAAGTCCCTAAATAATTCCATACTTCAAAGATGTCTTTACTATGCAAAACAAAGTGTCTTCTAAGATTTCTACCTTCAAGTTTGGGTCATCGAGAAAGCATGATCTGTTTTTGAATCTTACGACCTCATTATGAACTAAAATATCATAATAAAAAGTTTGTTTTACCTCAAACTTAAATCTAACCAATAAATGAGCATTACTTTTTGCTATGCAATTTCTCTCTTGACACATGCTCAATCTTAAGATGGGTAGACATTATTCTTGGTCTATAAATTCAAATATTGAGTCACCACAACCTCCAATATTTGTTTTGATTGGTCGATCAAAATATGATATAATTTCACTTTTTATCCAATGCATCACTGAATTCATTTGCTAAGATAATAATAACTTCTATGTATAGATGTCCCATCTCTTCCTATACAGACAATATTCCAAAATCTTCACATATTGGATAATTCCTTTTTTTTTTTTGCATAACACTACACCTAAAACAAGCACTAGAGGCATCAATGTATGTCACAAATCAATCCTTCAACTCATGATATTCTATCATGCACTTGTTAGAACAAAGAAAATGGATCATACATTCAACAAGAACCAATGCCATTGAAAGCTATTATTGCATTAATAAACTAGAAACAATCCTTGATCAAAATTCAAATCCAACAACTTCATATAAAATTTTAGCTTGTCATGATGTTGCAAAAAAAAAAAAAAATCCTCAAGCATTCGTTTACCCATCTCGACTCTCGAAAAATAGTTATACATCATCAAAGAGGCCACTACAAATTGATATAGTTACAATTGGACTATCTCATTCACCGAACAAAATTTGTGAAATCCACTAATGCATTGTCATATGGTTGGTGTCATCAAGGATAGTGTCATAATTCATAATAACAATCATCAGTAACATTAATCTATGAAATACTCAAGTTATGTACATAGGCAACTTAAGTAATAGCCACACGTTTTTACCTTGTATTATGCTACGCAAGCTATATATGTAATTCCTTGAAAAAAATCAAAACTAATAGCATTCATAGTCTTCCACATTTATAAAGTCTATACTTCTATGTTTCTAAGTAGAATTCATACACAGAATTTTCTATAATCATCTAACCAACTGCGTTGGCATACTATCTACTATAACATCTCAAAATAAACCATCAAATTTCTTTTCTATAAATCTCAAATGATATTCTCTCATATCAAGTGCCATAACAGCCTAACATCACCAAAAATAGATACATTTAGCATGAAAGTTTAATCATAATAATCACCAATAACTAATCCCTGACATATTCCTTATCATGACACCATATATTATTATATAATATTTTAATGAGTCACATATGTCAAACATGCCTCCAACCAAACTGAACTAATTCTTCCTTTCTCTCTAGTATTTTAATGAGTCACATATGTCAAACATGCCTCCAACCAAACTGAACTAATTCTTCCTTTCTCTCTAGGAAAACTAAATGAAAAGGAATTACGTAATCCATGAATCTAAAATCATATACTTCTATAACTAAATTTGACCCAATAATATTCATATTGTCCTCGATCAGACTTCAAAATAAAAACATCAACTCAAAATTAATTCCTTTCCACTTGCCGGTCAATCAAACTAATTTACTTATTTGCCCAACATCAGGACATCTGGAGGTATTAATATCAACGAAACAACTTAAGAACAAAAGTTCATGCAACGAGTCATAAGACCAAAAAGACAAACTTTATAATCTCTATTACAAAATAATTTTCACAACTCTATATGGTGCCGTACTTTCATGATAGAACATATATAGAACAATTTGTCACTTCCAAATACTTTCTCTTCAAAATCAAATTATTAAGGACAAACAATCATAATCTCAAATCCTATCGCGAACACATACTCATATTGCAATTCCTATTTTATCTCAAGCTTAATTTTTTTATAAACCACCAAAAGATTTTACTCTATTATGACACTATTCTCTCAATCATGTTTGAATCTTAAGAAAGCATCTTTCCATAATCCCTAACTCAATTATCAACATTTAGCCTTCTATGTCTGCAATATATGCGTCTCCTTAGTAGCCAAAATACAATGCCAAAATTTAACTTTCTACTCGAGGCACCATCACCATATTTATCTTTCGATGACAACAATGAATGGTAAGGTTATGACTTTACTTAGTTCTAACTAATTTCCTTTCCTCTTGTCAATATCCTTCTTGTACTTAATGTTTTTTTTTCTCTGATCGGATTGTATGACACACGTCCCATATTGATAATGTTCCCAAAGCTTTCATGAAATCACGAGGAAAACTTTAAATAACGATGATAATTTTTCCATAGCAAATTTTGATTATAATAACACAAAACCATATAATGTATATCATCATTATCATCGCCTATCCTAATCCTTCATGATGCTGTCCATAGTGAACCTTTAACTCATAGGAACTCATGTCCAAATATTTGTTAGCATCTATGACTATACCTCAAAGATCACTTTGATATTGTGTTACCATTTGATCCAACAATTTCACCATACATCCTTGATCATACTTCAAAATAAATCATCAAGTTTCTATTTTTTCGCATAAAATCCAATATTTTTATTTTTATTCTTTTACTAAAATCATCTCCAAACACAACTATGACCTACAGCCTAAGCTCTGATACCATTCTGTCACGACCCCAATTTCCGAACCTCAAAGGAATATTAGAGCCGGACTAAACCTGTGAAAAGTCCTCCAAAATATACATTCATTAAAAGAACACTAAAACAAATCTCTTCATTGAACTAAAACCAACAACAAATATTCTCTATAATCCCAAAAGTCAACTAAGCCAATTAACTTGATAAAAATAAATATTCCTCAACTCCAAATAAATCTCAACCTAAAGAAAGAATCTCATTATTACAAACTCTCAAATCATCATCTAAACATTAAAGACTTTATTTAACCTTCGCCTAGAAGACAATAACAATCTCGAATTATTCTTTGCTTCGTTCTAAGAATTTGACAATCCTCAATTCCACCTAATCCCGAGTCTCTGAAAAGAATAGAAATAACACAATGAGTTCACAACTCAATAAGTGGATAAATTCATACATTAAACACTGGTTTTGCAAAACTAAAATATTACAACGAGAAATAAACAAAATATAAGAATGATATAGAATCATTAATGAACTCTAGTATTTGATACAAATATTTAAGAAAATTAGAAATCATGGAATAGAAATAAGCATGCTACGTCTCAATGCGGTCAACACTTCATACTCCGGTTGACTCGGTAAACCCCACAATTATTAAGCCCGTGGTTCCGGGACGGTGAGACCCAATTTGGGCTCTTAGCGCTAAAATAAAACCTCATAGAGGCACATTGAGTCCTGTTTTAATAGCTTGCTTATATCCGACATATACCGGTATATTGACTTGAGATGCATATGCTTTAACAATAAACAAAGTTCGTAAAGCTAATCACATTATACAAAAATGCCAAAGGCCAACCAATAGTGAAATAAATCAAACACATATGCATCTCAACCTACCACTATATGAAAATCATAAAAAATTGATAAAGAAAATAAGCATAGGCTTATACCAAAATATCCATGAGCATCACAAAATCAAACCAATCAACAAATGATATACCAGTAAATCATACAAAGGAATATAATCCATCAGGAAACAAATCCACATATA